CCCCGGGGCGGAGGGCGCGCCGGGATGGGCCCCAAGCGGCGGCAGCTGACGTTCCGGGAGAAGTCGCGGATCATCCAGGAGGTGGAGGAGAACCCGGACCTCCGCAAGGGCGAGATCGCGCGGCGCTTCAACATCCCGCCGTCCACGCTGAGCACCATCCTGAAGAACAAGCGCGCCATCCTGGCGTCGGAGCGCAAGTACGGGGTGGCCTCCACCTGCCGCAAGACCAACAAGCTGTCCCCCTACGACAAGCTGGAGGGGCTGCTCATCGCCTGGTTCCAGCAGATCCGCGCCGCCGGCCTGCCAGTCAAGGGCATCATCCTCAAAGAGAAGGCGCTGCGGATCGCTGAGGAGCTGGGCATGGACGACTTCACTGCCTCCAACGGATGGCTGGATCGCTTCCGCCGGCGCCACGGTGTGGTGTCCTGTAGCGGCGTGACCCGCGCCCGGGCGCGAAGCGCGGCCCCGAGGGCTCCAGCCGCACCTGCCAGCCCAGCCGCCGTGCCCTCCGAGGGCAGCGGTGGGAGCACGCCCGGCTGGCGCGAGCGGGAGGAGCAGCCGCCGTCGGTGGCTGAGGGCTACGCCTCGCAGGACGTGTTCAGCGCCACCGAGACCAGTCTGTGGTACGACTTTCTCCCGGACCAGGCCGCCGGGCTGTGTGGAGGTGATGGAAGGGCGCGCCAAGCCACCCAGCGCCTTAGCGTTCTGCTGTGCGCCAACGCTGACGGCAGCGAGAAGCTGCCCCCGCTGGTGGCGGGCAAGTCTGCCAAGCCCCGTGCGGGCCAAGGTGGCTTGCCCTGCGACTACACCGCCAACTCTAAGGGTGGTGTCACCACCCAGGCCCTGGCCAAGTACTTGAAAGCCCTGGACGCCCGGATGGCTGCTGAGTCTCGTAGGGTCCTGCTGCTGGCCGGCCGTTTGGCCGCCCAGTCCTTGGACACCTCAGGCCTGCGGCACGTGCAGTTGGCCTTCTTCCCCCCAGGCACTGTACATCCATTGGAGCGGGGAGTGGTACAACAGGTGAAGGGCCACTACCGCCAGGCTATGCTGCTTAAGGCCATGGCGGCCCTGGAGGGCCAGGATCGCTCAGGCCTGCAGCTAGGCCTGGTGGAGGCCCTGCACTTTGTAGCTGCGGCCTGGCAGGCAGTGGAGCCTTCCGACATAGCCGCCTGTTTTCGGGAGGCTGGTTTTGGGGGTGGCCCTAATGCCACCATCACCACTTCCCTCAAGAGTGAGGGAGAGGAAGAGGAGGAGGAGGAAGAAGAGGAGGAAGAAGAGGAGGGTGAAGGGGAAGAGGAGGAAGAGGAGGAGGAAGAAGAAGGGGAGGAGGAAGAGGGAGGGGAAGGAGAGGAGCTGGGAGAGGAAGAGGAGGTAGAAGAAGAGGGTGAGGTTGATGACAGTGATGAAGAAGAGGAGGAGGAAGAGAGCTCCTCTGAGGGTTTAGAGGCTGAGGACTGGGCCCAGGGAGTAGTGGAGGCCAGTGGCAGCTTTGGAGGTTACAGTGCCCAGGAAGAGGCCCAATACCCTACCCTCCATTTTCTGGAAGGTGGGGAAGACTCTGACTCAGACAGTGATGAAGAGGAAGAAGATGAAGAGGAGGATGAGGAAGATGAAGATGATGAGGATGATGATGAGGATAGTGATGAGGTACCTGTACCCAGTTTTGGAGAGGCAATGGCCTACTTTGCCATGGTCAAGAGGTATCTGACCTCATTCCCCATTGACGACCGGGTGCAGAGCCACATTCTTCATTTGGAACATGATCTGGTCCATGTGACTAGAAAGAACCATGCCAGGCAGGCAGGAGTTCGGGGTCTCGGACACCAAAGCTGAGCCTCTGGGCATAGCTGTGTTCTAATTCAGATGGGCAGTACCAGTCCAAGGTAGAGAACTCTGGGTAGTTGCTAGAGATGGCCGGGGGAGCCCCAGGGCCTTTAATAATGCTTCCCCTAGCCCTGAGGTAGGCCCAGGGATTGAGATCTGCCTCACTGCCTGCTACTGCCTCTTTCTCAGAATCTTCTTTCCTCCCCATTAGTCCCTGGGCTCAGGGCACCGGGTAGGTGGGGAGCTGTCTGGTGCTACCACAGTGTGCCATCAGTGGACTAGACCACAGCAGCAGCCAGGGATGGATTCTGGAAGCCCCTGGCCGGAGAGTGCCTCTTCCCCTACCATCTAACCAGGTCTTTGGTGGGGGGGACCCCAAAGCCATTCTGAAAAGGGCTGCAGAAGGTCCAGCCTGGGCCCCCACAAGATTGGCAGCCCCCTTCCTGCACCCTAGGCTGCCTCAAGAAGCACAGTCTATCTTAGGACAGGCACCTGAGCCTGTCACTGCCTGCTTTCCACCTCCCTAATTCCTTTCTCTGGCCCAGTCTTTGTGACTTTGGCCCTTGATTTTCTTTCCAGATTGGAGGTTTCCGAGAGGCCCTCCAGGGGAGTAACAATGGGCACATCCGTTATGGGCAGCTGCAGGCCTTGTGCCTCATCCCTCTCTGGAAGGCCCTAATCCTGGGCAGAGGGACCTGGGGCTGGGCCCAGAGTCCAGCCATCCAGCTACTTCTTTCCCAGTTTGAATTCAATAAATATGTCCATTCCCCTTTTGTGGGAGTGACTTTTAACAGCCAAGGGTGCATCCTTCATGGTCTGGGCTTGCGTCTATTTTGGGGGACACACCCTTTCTGGGTTCCCTTTGGTCCTTGCTCTGGTGGGACATGGAAGCAAGGTTTGAACTAGTGGCCCAGATGGGTGAGGAGCAGGAAGTGCTATTGACACCTGACACCCACGTCTAAATGTTGCACAGTTTGGGGGAAAGAGGGTCTTTAGTGTTCCCATCTCTGGCTAGACTTGAGGAACCCTAGCTTTGCACTACTTTGGAGTTAGGAAGAAACTTAAGTTACTCAGCTGGCTGTAGGGAGGGAAGCCAACAGTCTCTTGGGCTAGAGCAGGCCTGATGACTGGGCTCATGAAAGCTGGTTAAAGAAGGGCTTGGCAGGTGTGGAGCCAGCATGAAAAGGGTATTAGGATGGCTATGGATCAGGTTGGAGTTAGAGGGTCATACAGGACACCCTTGGTTTACCTTCGGTGTCTTAAGAGGGAACCCTCCAGCTTTTTCAGTGATTGGCATCGCTAAGCATGATGACCACCCTTGAGGACAGTGACAGAAGGACGGTGAAATTACTAGGGACAGATTTTACCCACATGAATTGGTACTTCACTGTGCAGAGCCCTTTACCCAGCACCCTCAGTCCAAAGGTGAGGAGATGCCCTTCTTTCACAGCCTGCTCCTTCCTTCACAGTCCTCCTTACTGAGGCCCTCAGGCCAGCCAGGAGAAGACCCGAGCAAAGCTGGTAGCGCTCAGCCCCAAACTGGTCTTCCCACTCTGCCTGGGGCTGGAATATCACTTCTGTGGATGCTTCCCAACCCCTTAACATCTTCTAGCCACCTAGTTCTTCTCCCCTCCCCTGCATTGCTAGGGGGTAGGGGATATCCAAGGCATCCCTGTCCCTTGTCTGCCCTGGGTGTGGTTCCTTCCAGAAAGGTTTGGACATCATATTACTTTAAACAAGAAAGTTTGGGTCTTTGGTATTTCTGGCACTAGGGATTGTCTCTAAGCCTTGAAAAGTTTATGTTTTATTTTTGTTTTAAATGCCCATTTCATTTTTGCTTTATTTGTTATTGGAGCTAGGGATGAACCCAGGGCCTGTTGTACCCTAGGCAAGTATTCCACCACTGAGATACATCTCCAACCCCCCTTGAAGGTCTGAAACAAGAAAAAAGTTGAGATTCCACCTGGCATCAGTTCTTCCTCTAATTGGAGCTCTGGAGGAGGGGACCAGGAAGTACAGCCTACTCCCCATGGACCTGCTCTAGAGTAGGTAGGAGAGAGCAGTGGTCTTTCCTTTAGCGGTCCCTGGCCAAATCCAGGTCTGGTATCTCAAATACTAAGGCAAATCACTTCATCAGTCTCCTGCCAACGAGAATGACCCTTTTGCTGGAACAGGGATGAGTTCAATGGTAACACTAGCTAATAGGACCCTTGCTTGTGTGCCAGGCATTAAACACGCGTGCTCACAAAGCCCCTGTGAGGTTAAGAAAAACCCATGACAGACAGGCAAAGCCACACCATTTATCTGTTGGACACAGGTTTTCTCTCCATCTATTCCACAAGTACCCATTTACTGCTTACTAAGTATTCTTTCACTAAGAAGGGACCTATATTCCTACCCCTCCTGAGGGTGTGCTGCTTTGAAATGGGCTTGGTTATTGAAATCTCTTTCCTTCCCTCTCTTTTTGCCTTTTTGAGACAGGGTTCCCTGTAACCCCAGCTGGCTCAGAACTCGCTATGTAGACCAGGCTGACCCTGAGATCACAGAGATCTGCCTGTCTCTGCCTCCTGAGTGCTGGGCCCAAAATCTGTTTCTAATCCATGGTAGAATAGCTGTTTGGAGGGAGATGAGGCATGTGGCAGTGTCTCTAGAAACCCTTGTAAATTTCTTTCCAGGTACCCCATCAGGACTACTAGTCAAGAACTGTTCCCATTTCACAAAGGAGAAAATAGGGTTAAGGACTTAAATGACTTGCCAGAGAAAATGACCTTGAACTTCTGCTCTCCTTGGGAGTCTCAGTTACAAATTAAATGCCTCACTAGAACACACAGCTGGGTGGGGAAATGGCAATGACACTAGGACTACAGAGGTTTGTGGAGGAAGCTGGCAAGGAGGTAACTATTCTGCTTGTCACATAGCCTGGGTAGGTATCGAAACACCTTGGAGATGTTGCCTCTTTTAGGACTCAGGATTAAATGACACAGAAGGGAGATGGGTTTCTAGTCGGCTTTGATAAAGCCCAGAGTGGGTTAGTGGTGGGCAGACAGGTCATGCCCTTCTTTGGGAGAAGGGATGATAAGGATACATACCTAATTTTCCAAAGCCTGGGCTCGGGATAAGGTCACACGAAAAAACTACAACTCCCATAAGTCTCTGTTCCCAGGCAAGCAGGCCATAGTTGCCATGGTTTCGGAAAACAATATGGCTGCTCCCAGATGGGACTGGAGGCTGTGGTTTAGGGACTTAAACACATAGATCTGAACGCCCACAGTGGCGAAAGAGGACACACTTAAGAAGCCCTGGGATTGGGGTTAGACTCTGTTGGGAAAGGCCTGGCCTTGCCCAGGGAGCCAATGGCGAGCAGTGTGGACGAGGAGGCGCTGCACCAGCTGTACCTGTGGGTAGACAACATCCCTCTGTCCCGACCCAAGAGAAACCTCTCCCGGGACTTCAGTGATGGAGGTATGCACTCTTATGTGTGTTTTAAATATTCTGATATTCTGTTCTAGATGAATGTGTAAGCGGTTTGTGTGTCGGGTTTTGTGTATCTTTTTTTTTTTTTTTTTTTTTTTTTTTTGAGGCAGGGTCTCTCTAGCCCCAGCTGGCCTGAAGCTTGCTATGTAGACCAGGCGGACCTCGCTCTCACAGAGCTCCTCCTGTATTAAAGGCTTGTGTCACCATGCCAGTCTCATTTGTTTATTTTGTGTGCATGTGGGGTCGGGGAGGGGTGAGATCTGTGTTTTGGGTTTCTCAGTTTTGTGCACTTACATGTTTTTTTCTATTCATATGTGAATAATGTATGTCCATGTGTACATCTACTTGTTCTGTTTTGTGTGCATGCATGTGGTGTGTGTGTACCTGCAGGGACTTTAAGGACTATGATGTGTCTCTGTGTCTATATTTGTGAATCTGTGCTTGCTCACATTGCTGTGTTCTATGTCTCTTCTATGACTGTGTTCTTTTTGACATGTTTTGCCCCATATATATCCCTCCCTCCCTCCCTTCCCTCCCTCCCTCCTTCCTTCCTTCCTTTCTTCCTTCTCTTTTTAAGTATGTGTATGAGTGTTTTGCCTGCATTGTATGTAAGTACGCCAGTGTCATGCAAAGCCCGTGGAGGCAAGAAGAAGGTGTCACATCCCCTGGAACTGCAGTTATGGGCTGTTGTCAGCCACCTTTTGGGTGCTGGGAATTGAACCTGGGTCCTTTGGAAGAGCAGCCAGTGTTCTTAACTGCTATGCCATCTCCCCAGCCCCGTGTATGTTTCTTTTTGATTACATGCCTGTTTTTCAGGAAAGACTCCTGGATTTCAATTTCAGATGTACATATTTCTGTAGAAGTACAGAATTTCTACATTTCTGTATGTGTATAATTAAGTCTATGTATATTTGTGACTTCTGTGTTTCTATGTGTGCTCTATATTTGAGCCCATGTATGTGTCCAATGTGTTTGTACATTCTGCCCTGTGTATATCTGTAGAGGATTTTTGGGGGGGTCTTTTTGAGACAGGGTCTCCC